GAAAGGTATGCCAATTAACCTTCTTTTGTAGGCTGAAACTTTGTATGAATTGTCTATACTAATTTTTCAAGGATGAGTCTGTGTGTACACTTCCGGTGTACACACACGTTGACAACCCTCACATATTAAGGGGAGCCCATGAATAATTTATTTTGTGCGGGCCCTCCTCCATGTGAGGGAGGTGTAAATGATTGTGTACATCGGAGGTGCACACGTAGCACAATCCATTTTTCAATAAATAGACGATGTAGGAGTCACCTTCAACCAAAGATAGAATTTCCAATGAAGAGATCTGTACATCCAGTTTCAACGACTTGTTCCAATATATAGTAGAAATAACCAGTTTGACAGAATGATCTTACTTAACAACAAGATGAACCACAAAGAGCAAACAAAATTCACATGAACTAATCATTTCAGTTTCCTTAGAGACTCTGGTCGAGTAAGCGTTCTTTGCAACTAATTTCAATTATTGACGTCAACAATATCAACACCAGATTAAGAAAAAAGGAATGTTATGCAGGAAAATAAACAAAAATCAAGTGTGGACATCAAGAGATATCTCACATTTCATTGCTTATTTGAGAAGTTTTTACAGTGAAGATTATCTCTACCAAGATAACAAGGAAAAATTATACACGAAAGGCCAAAAACGAAAATAAGTTTGTTTCTCCCTGATCTAATCAAAGTTTCAAGAGTATACAAGATCTATCTAAGAAATGTTAACCTCATTTCGCTGAATCAAATCCAGTGCGTAATGATTCCCGAGCTTAACCATTATGCTTGCCAAGATTTCAAGCAATTCTCCGCTTCGAACCTTAAATAGAGAATCAAATCCATTTGAAAAATTTGATTCAATGAGAATTCCAATATTTATATCACTATTTTACACACCTCAGCACCAAGCAAATATCAAAGATCCGTATTTCTATAACAGAGATGGATCATCACGGGTTCCCAACTAGAACTAATCATACTTCTCTCTCCATGAATACACAAGAAAGAAAACCCAAGAAACTCCCAATGCAATATCCCCAACTACAAGCCTAAGCCAATCGCGGCCTAGATCTTCGACCTTCCTTTCAAAGTAAATTCTCCAAATAGCCATTGCTACATGGAGAAGGATACAGCCCTTAGCAAAGAAGCTATGAAACTCTCTGTCCTTCACAAAAGCCACCATAAACAAGAGAAACCCAATGGCAAATAAAAGCAAACCCGAAAACGAGTCTGATGTTTGGATTAACAGCTGATCATGGGGTGTTGAACCCATAAGCTTGCTGGCATGTTCTTTACCATGGCTAAACACAGAAACCTCATTGCTATAAAACATCATTAGAGCTCCACAGGTTAAAGCCATCAAAGAACGGAGCATACATATAAGAAAAAACCCAGGTGACACCATTGAACATTCAAAATAATGCTGCTAAACACTCAATTGCTAGGTTACAACCTCCAAATATTAAAAAACACCCAATTCATTAATGCGTATTTCTGAGTAATCAAATCAAAAAACAGAACAATTTAACTCAAGAATATGCTTAAATTAACCAAAACCGACAAGATATTTCCTTCTAAAAACTAGTTTCTTGAACTGAAACGACAATTAAATACATATATCACAGCCCCTTAGTAGATCCCCGAGATGGGCTTCTATGAAAAATAGCGTAATCATCTTAAGGGCATACAGAGAGAGACAGAGACAGAAAGATGGCTCCAAGATTCAATACCCTGAGACACATATGAAGAGTAAACAACTGATGGAATATGAAAAAAGGGTTTTTAGAAAAGATCTGAGAGTTTCAAATATAAGGTAACAAGAAAGTTTCTTACGGCTAATCAGCCAGAACTAACAAGTAACTTTGATACAAAAAAGGGAAAGAAATCAACTTTAATTATTTTTATTTAAAATGATTATCTTGATGTCCTTGAGATTGCTCATTTCCATACCTATACCTTGTGGATTTTTTTAGTCTTTATTTATTCAACATGGCCCCATCATATCATGAGTTTACACTATCTCTTTGAATGATAATTTAAATACTCCATTGGATATGGTTGTTGCTGAAACAATGAAAACCAGACGGGTCATAAATCATGCTTGAGGATTTGTATTTATCTTCTTGTCTGTACCTATGAATTATGAGAAATTGAATTCTTTGACTTACTTTCTCAAAAATGGACCAAGCGATGAATTCTCCTACTTTCAGTTACTTCAACACTCCATTTTGTAAGATGAAAAGTGATTTATTAAAAATCAATAATTAGCATAAAATGTATAAGGCATAGAGTGACCAACATTTAATTAAAACGACTTATCTATTTAATTAAAAAAGAGAAAAATATATTATTTGACTATGACAAGAAGAAATGCTTGGTAAAAACCCGTCATATTTCTAGTTGAGAACAGCTAAAGTAGTTTTCTTCGTCAACAAGGATGATGAACAATCATCTTCCACTATTCCATTGTCCAACAAAGAAAATATTTTCATTTATTGAACCATGTGACTGTGACCAAAAAGAAAGTAAAGAATAGATTCTTTAAACGAAAGATGTAAATAAAGAAATAAAAGTTCATTATCCACAAGATTGGATCGAAATAAAAGTGTTTCCAAAAGCAAGAGACATAAAGTTAAATTGAAAGACTAATGGTTCAACATTATCAAAAGTGCAGTTGAATTTCTGAATCAAGAACTTGTCAAAATTATTGGCATTTAGTATTTACAGCATGAAAGAATTGATATTGACAGTTTTACACAAAATTCAAGTATTTTTCTTCCGTATTTCGATCGCTGCTATAACCCTAAAACTATACCCTAGAAAAATCTGAAAAAAAATGTCCTATTTTTGTCAAATAAAAGAGACTATAACTTAATTTTGGCACAAAAGGGATAAAATTGAATTCAAGCATTTTCCCTATTTCGGGGGACTTTATGGTGCCTCCTTGAGCCAGATCTCCTATCTTCTTTTCCGCATTGAACTGGAGGTCTCTTAGTGGGATTTCTGTCACAAACTAAAGCTGGTGGAGTGTAACTTCTTGCAACAGCCATATGAGCCCTTTGTTCCAACAAATCTCTGTGATATGCCTGTAAATGAATGGATTGATAAAGTATTTTCCAACTACTAAAATATTTTAAAAAGTCACTTCGAAGTATTTAAATTCAAGCTATCATGTTGGATGTTTCAGGAATATTGCGACCCGATACCATATTTTCTTGCAAAAAAAGGCCATTACAAATTTCAAGATCATGCACAGGAATGGCGGAATTTAATAGCATAAAACAAGATCATTACAAAAAAGATCATTGAGTTCTTATTCGGAAACCCTGAAACAACCGAAGTAGTCCAACGATTATATATAAAAAATTTCTTGACCAGTAAACCAACAAGCAATAAATCAAACACTAAGTAACCTGTACATGTTTTTCTAACTTCTTCCTGGCTCAAACTTACTAATTAGCTAAACATGGAGAGAATTGACTTTCTCAAATATGCTTGCATGGGTACCGGGTACCTGGTTCTTCAACATGTTGATGCTCAATTTAGGTAGAAAATAATTTATAAATTCAGTTCAAATCAAACACTAATTTTAAACTTCATATACGGAGCTTTTTCAAAAAAAAAAAATCCAAGAAGACGCGATTCATTAGTCACAAAATTAAAAGATAATACAATAAAATAAACAAAAACAAAAAAACTTTATTGATGTGTCTTCATTCATAACTACACTTCGTACGGTGAAAGCATCTCTCACTCTCAGTAACTTTCAGAAACTAAACATCGTGTTCATTTTCTAGGATCAAAATCGAAAGAAAAAGTTCAAGATTTGTAATATAAGAAAAACAAGAATCATGGTTCAATGACAGTACTCCGGCGGCACAATGGGTAGGTTTGACTCATATCCAACCATGTTTTGATGCATTCGAAGTGAAACCCATGGTTGCATGCCGGAAGACACCGGAACAATTCTTGGTCTTTGAATTCAAATAGACAAATAGAGCATTCATGATCTCCACCTTCTTGTTCGTTGTAAATATCGATGACTATTTCATCCATCCTCCCTTTTGCCATCTGGGATCGAGTTGAAATTGGTGATGATGGTAGCGGCGGCGGTGGTTGATGATTTACGACTGACAGCTCATTTTGTTCCAATTCTGCATATCTATTCCGCCTCTTTTTCAGCAGATATTGAATCAACAAAAACATCAGAGTCGAGGTGAAAACAAATGGTAAAAGGTACAAAATATCAGGCATCTTTAAGGAAGACAATGAAGGAGGGAGACAGAGAGATTAGAGCAGACAGAAAATTGCAATGCACAATGGTATTTATATACTAGTTTGTGCGAGTCTCTACAAGGAAATAAATAGTAATACTCGTTTTCAGTCAACGTAAGAATTTTTAGGGAAAATGTCACCACACACTGCACATATAAAAGGTAAGATATTTTTATTAATTATCTTCTGTAATATTAGTTATCACATTTTTGTGGAGGAAGCCAAAAGGAAATTTTCACAAGAGGGAACAGATTTATATTATAATGTGAATGATAAATTATCGTGACATGAGAATGTAACCACGGTTGGTAGTTATTAGATTGCAAATTTTACAGATCGACATTGGGTTAATACGCAGATGTGTATGATGTATATTTTGCCACAAATCTTTTGATTTGTAATCCCAAAATTAAGGCTATTTCAGATTTGGCAGCCGTTCGTGTTGTCGAAAAACAAGCCAGGTGCTAGATCCCCCTGCATGTTCTCATATCTTTCCAGGCATTGTAATTCATTTCTACAGTGCAATAATTTAGATTTATTTTGTTTGATTTTAAAAGTAGGTAAAAGATCCTGTTTTAACTAGGAAGTTAATTATTATGATAAAAGTGCTGGTGCATCATGTTGGAAAGTACGTTTATAAACTATTTTTTCATAAATATATATAAATGAGTGATGGATACTTGGGTATTGCATAAGAGTTCAATTGAATGTGAGAATAAAAGTGATTTAAAAATTTATACACACGAGCAAAATACTAATGATATCTTCAATTTCGAATGTTAAATACCTGTATATAGCTCGGTTGATTTCTATGTAAATTTCGACAGTTTCTAAATTTGTTTGTGTCATCTTCTTAAAAGGGCATAATAATCTGCCCTATATTGTTCCAATTTTAGAGTATTCGATTACAAGGTTAAAATGGAAGAGACTTTATATTGACATGTAACAGATAGAATATTAAGATCCTGTTTGATTTGACCAAAAAGATATATTAAAATTTAAGTTAAAGTTAACAATTAATTTTTATCATACATTTCTTGAGATCTACCACTTTTCAATCACGCGTTCCACCAACTTCAATCAAAATCTAGAAAAAAATCTGATTTTTATCAAAACGGAGAGTGATTAAATATATAAATGCCACCTCTAGATATTATAGCATTATGCCTATATATGGCTATTGTCAATTATACCTCAACTTATTTCCTATCATGAAAAGTCACTAAAAGAATCTTATTTATGAATTTGGAGTATTTGTACACTATGAATTAAGAATTACATTAAGGAGCTGCTTGACAAAGCTTTTGATAAATAAATAAAAATAACAAATTTTGATAAAAAAAAATGATGAAATATATTATTAAAAAGGATAAAAATTATGAATATCATGAAATGTATGATTAAAATTAATGGCCGACTTTGATTCAATGTTTTAGTAAATTTAAATATCCAAACCACCATAAATATAACATTTCATGCGCCAAGATTGTTGGTAAACAAAAGCAATTTCGATTACAAAGGAAAAAATATAAAAAGAGACTAAAAAATTAATATCGCTTTGAAAGAAATTTAAGTTAATTTCCCATATATGTCTTTATAATTAGTCTCCAATATAACTAATATAATTTCGAATCTATTGATATAACTTTACAATATAACACTATATCAAGTACATATACTTGGAGCGAATCAAATCTCATGAGATACATCTTTTCCATGATAATTGTCTTGTCTCTTAGACAATTTTGACGCAACCATCAGCGGGGACTTGAGGGGAGACTCAAGAGGCGGCCATCTAAAGGCCAAAATCTAATCTATGGGGACCTAGTACAATCTTTCACACCTATTATTTTTCAGTTTCAATTTTAATGAAAAATGGAATTTCTGTTTTACGCACATCTTGTCAAAATAGAGTCTCAAAGCATCTCGTTTTGTGCAGCATGCAGGCAAGTTTCTATTGATAATTTCTTGCAGTCTAAAATTTGAATTAGGCACCTTCTTTTGCTCTAATTGATCTCTCGATGCCATTGCTAATTGAGAAATCTATCTCGCAAGAGTAATAATAAACAGAATGACAAGCGAGGAATTACTATGGATAATCCCATACCTAAAAGGCAATGAAGAATGAAACATAAGACAAAACGCATATATAGAAACACACCTTTTCAGTGGTTTATCTCAATATAAAAACTACAAGTAATGGAGAACTTATGAAAGCTTTGGAATATTATTTACGAGCCCACTCGTCGGTGCAGATATTCACTAAGCGTTTACTTGGTGTAGATATTCAAGAAATTTACGATAGAGATCTCACAGCTCTGGGTTTTTTGTCTCTCACACATGGAATGTACAGGAGCAATGTCAATCTATTGTAGAAGACATGAATGACCAATGTATTTAGGCATGTTTTTTGCTCCATTTCATGCTATTTTGCCCTTGTTTGATAGCCCTTTTTGTTAAGAATGAGTTTTTGAACAGCAATTTTTTGGTGATTGTGATTTTGTGGTGAAGAAAAGAAAAAAAAATTTAGTTTACGTGAAAAATATTTTGTTGGGAAATGCGTGGTTGAAAATGAGCATGATAAAAATAAAAAAAATAAAAAAAAAGTTTTGAAAGAGTAGGTGTCGAACAGAAGCTTAATTTGTATCAAGTCCTATGGAAAATAAATTATCAAATCCTTCCTCACTTGTGTGATATTAGACAAACTCGGCCACAGATTAAGCATGCATGTCAAAGCTGACGTTGAATTGAACACTGTAGTCAGGTTAGATTAGGATTTATTAAGTTGAAACTAGGCATTTGACGGGTTTTATTCGTTTAGAAAACATAGTATTATAATGCAGGAATTCTTCCCTTTAAACATATTAAATATGAAATTTGTGAATGAGCTCCATGATTTTTTTTAAATTCCTGACATAATCATAAGAGCAAACAAAAATTAACCTTGTAACATATAAATATTTTCATGGAAGAAATAAGCATGAGAAATAGAAACAGTCTAATTAATCAATCAGTGACGCTCATATTAACTAATTTGTTTCAATTAATCTTGAGTACAAATCAAACATCTTCAATATAGTAGTTTAATGACTCTATACATTTTATTTTATTTATTTTTTTATATTGAGCCATGAAATCTCTAGGCAATGAATGGTTTATTACGAGATGAAAATGCATGGGACTGAAACTTCTTTAATTACTCAAAGGATTCCGCCACCTCCTATTCCAACACCAGCTCCTCCACCAAATCCACTACCAGATCCTCCACCCGACCCACCTCCAGCATCGCCTCCGCCACCTAAAACTCCTCCTCCTCCTTGAGCACCATTTCTGAACCCACCACCAAGTCCTCCTCCAGAACCTGAACCACCCCCTGTTCCTTCACCTCCACCTCCACTAAACCCTCCACCTCCTCCTTCAGAACCACTTCCAAACCCACCACCCAATCCTCCTCCAGAACCAGAACCACCCTCTGATCCACCACCTCCACCTCCACCTCCACCAAACCCTCCACCTCCTCCTTGAGCGCCGTTTCCAAACCCACCACCCAATCCTCCTCTCGAACCAGAACCTCCTTCCATTCTTCCACCTCCACTGAATCCTCCACCACCACCTCTACCAAGCCCTCCACCTGCTAAATCCCAGTGATCAAAGAAGATTTTTTTCTCATTGTAGAAAGAACCCTCTGTGCCAATAAGCTTTCTTGCATTGGTGATACAAATAAGAACACCAAGAAGAACCAAGAGTACAAAATTGGAAGTCGTCTCAATTTACAAGTAAAAGATAGGTATTTGAATCTTGATTTGTGACAATGAAGGACACCAAAAAAGGTTTATATAATGCTACTGATTTGTACCATGAGCCACGTTTGAATTATTAATGCAGCTAACTATTTCTTTGAAAAGGAAATACTTCACCAAAACTTTGTGACTCTGATTATCAGTTAAATGTTTTGTGCTTGAATTAATGAGCGAGTTAGTTGGGGCCTCATTAACCTGGCAGTTATTACATTTGTAGTGATTCAATTTATGTTTTTGGTATTAATTAGTGCAATATTATATGTTTACTTACGTTAGTGGTAATACACATGTTCTCATATCTTTCCAGGCATTGAAATTCATTTCTACATTGCAATAATTTAGATTTATTCGATTTGCTTTTAAAAGTAAGTAAAAGATTCTGTTTTGACTAGGAAATTAATTATTATGATAAAAATGCCAGTGCATCATGTTGGAAAGTGCGTTTATAAAATATTTTGTCTATAAATATATATATAAATGAGTGATGGATTTGTGGGCACTACTTAATAGTTCTATGGAATGTCTAAATAAAAGTGATTTAAATACTTATGCACATGAGCAAAATATTGACAACGTCTTCAATTTCAAATTTTGGATACCTATATATAGCTTGGTTGGTTTCTGTGTAAATTTCGATGGTTTCTAAATTTGTTTTTGTCATCTTCATAAAAAGGGCATGATAATCTGCCCGATATTGTTCCAGTTTTATAATATTTGATTGCAGGGTTAAAATGGAAGCCTTGAATCATTTTGAAATGGAGTCTTTATGTTGACATGTAATAGATAGATTTTTAAGATCTTGTTTGATTCGACTAAAAAGATATATTAAAATTTTGGAGTTAACAATTAATTTTATCCATACATTTCTTGAATCTTGATTTATGTAATGCTGCTGATTCATACCATAAACCACATTTCAATTGTTAATGCAGCTAACTGATTCTTTGACACTTTGTGCTTGGATTAATGTTTGAGTTAGTGGGGGTCTCATTAACCTGGAAATTATTAAATTTCTAGTGATTCAATTTATATTTTTAGTTATTAATTAGTTCAATAATGCATATTTATTTATGTAAGTCGTATATACACATGTTCTTATTTCTTTCCAGGCATTGTAATTCATTTCTATTGTACAATAATTTAGATTACATTGTTATGTAAACATATCTTCCGTTTTTCACGTTCTCAAATGGTTTGATGTGATTTTCAAAAATAAATAAATAAATAACCCATTTCCTGTGTTAACTGTCAAATTAATTATTGTGATATAAAAAGCTAGTGTATTAGTTCTTATTACAAGCATCAAGATTAGTCTTACTTGGGATGTTTTTATAAACGATTTTGTTTATATATATGAGTACTGGATAGTTGGATACTATTTATGAGTTCAATGAAATGTGTGTATAAATGTGATTTAAATATTTATACACATGAGCTATATATCAACGAAGTTAATTTTCAATTTCAAATTTTGGATACCTATAGCTTGGTTGATTTCAATATTTTTTCTTCATCAAGAAGAAAGCCTCAAAGTAAATTTCGATAGTTTCTAAATTTTTTTGTGTCATCTTCATAAAAGGGCATGCTAGTTTTCCCAGTATTCTTCTTAATAACATTCGATTGCAGGGTTATAAATGAATCCTTGAATCATTTGAAAAAGGATCTTTATGTTGCCATGTAATAGATAGAGTACTAAGACCCAGTTTGATTCAACTAATTAGAAAGTTATACTAAAATTTAAGCTTAAGTTAGCAATTAATTTTAACCATACAATTTATGAGATTCACAACATTTTAACCATTTACACTCTATCAACTTCAATCAAAATTTACTAAAAAAATGATTTTTATCTTAACCAGAAGGGGGTTTATTATATATGTGACATGTATGGCTGTTATAACATTATACCAAACTTATTTCATATCACAAAAAAAATACTAAATGAAACTTATTTAAGAATTTGGATTATTTCCATGATATGAATTAAGAACTATACCAAGGGTTGTTTGACAAAGCTTGTGATAAGACTAGCAAATTTTGATAAAAGTTGATAAAATATGTGGTTGAAAATTTGATAAAAAATTTTAGTCCCATAAATAGTATGATAAAATTAATTTTTGACTTTGATTCAACTTTTGAAGATATCTCAAACAAGAGCAAATATAACATTTTATGATAAAGATTGTCTGAAAACAAATGCAATCGCTTATAAAGAAACTAAGTAGATTTCCCTCTTGAGTCTTTAATAAGTCTCTAATAGAATTTTGAATCTATTGTTATTACAACATAACACAATATCAAGTACATATACTTGGAATCGAATCAAAGCTCATGAGATATATCCTTTTTCATTATGATTGTCTTATCTTATCTAGGACCGATCCAGATGGCCATGCACAAAAGCATGAATGCTATGCTCATGTTTGATAGTGATTAAAATCTAGATTTTAGTCCAATCAAAATCAATAATTAATATCAGCCACATATTTCATGAAATCCGCAATATTTTAACTACTATTTCATCAACTTTTATCACAATTTATTGAAAATTTGATTTTAATTCTCACCAAACAAGGACCATATTTTGTTTTGATAGTTGGTTGAAGATTATGCCTTGCTTGAGCCCTATTCTTTTGATAAAAATGAATTTTTGAATAATGTATTGGTGGAAATGTGTGGTTAAAAAATGAGGAAAAATTTTGGATTTGCGTGTAATATTATTTTATTAAAAAAATATATAATTAAAATGATGTCAAAACACTGCTTAAGAATGAATTTTTTTCAAAGAATGAAAATCAAATAGGGGCTATATGAGCTCAAACATGTTTTTGGCTCCATTTGGTGCTATTTTATTTATGTCAAGCCCTAAGGAAAATAAAATATTATATCCTTCATCACACACCAAAACTCTTGTGTGTAGCTAGTCAAACTCGACTCCAAATCAAACGTGTCAAATACGACTTTGAATTGAGTATCGGAATCAAACTAGATGACTTTTATATCAATTTTGAACTAAAATTGGACGTGTTTATTCACTTAGAAAATATAATATTAAAGTGCTCGAATAAATTATTCATTTTATACAAATATTAAATTTCAAATTTCTGAAAATGTACACTTATTAAATTTGTGATGAAATTATAAGAAAACATACGAAGATTTGCATGGAAGAAATAAAGCATGAGAAAAGGAAATGAAGCTCACATTAATATGTTTGAATAACTTTTTAAGTACAAATCCAGCATCTGCTAAATAGTAGTTTAATGCCATGAAAAAGATCACTAGGTATCGAATGGTTATTGAAAGATGGGAATGCTTCTTAATTAATTATTAATTACTCATGGGATTCCACCATCTCCTATTCCGCCACCAGCTCCTGCACCAAATCCACTACCGGATCCTCCACCCAATCCGCCTCCACCACCACCTCCGCCGCCAAAACCTCCTCCTCCTCCTCCTTGGGCACCATTTCCAAACCCACCACCAAATCCTCCTCCAGAACCAGAACCGATCCCTGTTCCTGTTCCTCCACCTCCACCTCCACCTCCTCCAAACCCTCCACCTCCTCCATGAGAACCACTTCCCATCCCACCACCAAATCCTGCTCCATAACCAGAACCAGAACCACTACCACCTATTCCTCCGCCACCACCTCCACCTCCACCTCCTCCTTGAGCGCCACCTCCAATCCCACCACCCATTCCTCCTCCAGAACCAAAACCACCTTCCGTTCCTCCACCTCCACCTCCCCACCTTCCGCTTCTCTACCTCCACCTCCACCAAAGCCTCCACCACCACCTCCACCAAGCCCTCCTAGATCCCAGTGACCAAGGGAGAAATTTTTATCTCCATCTAAAGAACCCTCTGAGCCAACAAGCTTTCTTGCAGTGGTGGTGCAAATAAGAACACCAAGGAGAACCAAGAGAACAAATTTGGAAGTCATCTCAATTTGTAAGTAAACGATAGGTATTCAATCTTGATTGATAACAACTTAGGACACGTGAAAGGGTTATATAATGCTAGAATATCAATTATTTGCAATAAAGTTTAATGCTAGAATTAATGTGTATTAATGAAAGTCTCATAACTTGACGGTTATTGTATTAGTAACTAGAAATTTAAGTTTTTGTGTTTAGTTATTAATCAGTGCATTAGCAGATTAATTTCTGAATTAATGGTGTTTTAATTTCTTTTCCTTTTATCATGTTTTATTTTTCTTAAATTACCTAACATTTATTTTTTCAGTTTCATTCAGAGTTCATCATAATCTCTCTCCCCCCTCCCCGGGGAGAGAGAGGGGGAGAGAGAGATGAGGCAAGTGTTATTTAGCAACTTAAAGTAATCCCGAGTCAAGTATCAATAAGATTTAAAGGTATAAGCAATAAATGAAATTTTATTTTATGGCCAAGTGAGCAGATCAGTAGAAACGTTTTTGCTTATTTTTTCACTTGCAATAGAGTTTGGCGTAAATTCTCTCCGAATTTCGAATAAGAACTAACGTATCCTACCATGGAAAATTATACTTTCGTGCACGGATTGACAAATAACTATATATGTATTGTTGAGTTTATAACTCAAAAATTAAATTTTATTTATGAAATGGAATTTTGAATACATGCTCACCAAAGCCACAATCTATTATATCCACTCAAATGAGATTTTCTCACTCAACTAAATACATACACGGGTTGTATCTATACACAGGAGCGGAGCTACATAAGGTCCAGTGCGGGCATCGGCCTGCACTTTGAACTTGACACAAGAAACTCCAGTGTGCCTGCACTGGACCGAGAAGAGAAGAAGAAGAAGGAGAAGAGGGAAGAAAGAAGAAGAAAAAGTGTGTCTGCAGGCAGTGGCAGAGGAAGAAGAGTTACAGTTGTCGACAGGGAAGAAGGAAAGGAGGAAAAAGAGTTACACTTACAGTTGTCAACATGGAAGAAGAAGGAAAGGAGGAAGAAGAGTTTAGTTGGGCCAACTTTTTAATTTTTTAGATTTTGGGCCTTCTCTTTAGTTAGGCTTTTTGAGAGAAAAAAAAACGATAGGCCCCATTACAAATTTATTTGCCCATCAATTTATTGTTTGTACAATGGACTCACAACTTCTTATCCATTTTTAAAAAATGTACTCTGCATTGATCACATGAAGCTCTTTTTGTTTATAGACTAATTTCAACCAAAAAAATCACCGTAGCCGATACTTAAATTGTGCCCGTACTGGACGAAATCACTGGTTCCACCCCTGTCTATATACTCCCTTATCAACTCTCTCTTCTCATCACAGACATACATT